GGTGCTGCCCCGGGTCCGCCGGCTCTGCAGCACCAGTGGGGTTTGATATCAGGCTACCATCTATAGTTGTATATAGTTCTTTACTGTTATCATTTCACCATTATTTCTATTTTTTCATTAAAGCTGTTCTAGTTTTTTCTTTCCTAACCCATAAGTCTCTCTGCCTCATTCCCTTTTCCTTCCCACTTGGGGGGAGAAGAGGGGGTTAGAGAGCATCTGTCCGTGTTAGTGGCCGGCCCAGCCCTATAGAGAATTTGGAAAAAAATCTGTAATATTGTACTTAAACACCTTTGAAGTACAACAGTAATGCAACAACTCTGCTCAACTTCATATTTAATAATGTGTCCCCCAAAAACATGCAAAAGGATTCACTAGTTTTGGGGACTCGACTTAACCCCGTATTTGGCCACGCCTCTACTTCAAACACACAAATTCATTCCATTGACTCCTTCCAGATCAAACCCTTTGAGAAGAGCAGAAATAAATACCAGGAGACACGGAAACCAAGAGCAGTTACGTGCTGCTGAAATCAGCTGAGCTCAGCCAGAAGGGACAGAGAGGCAGCTGGTTCAGAGAGTCAGAGAAGGCAAAAGACCGAAGGGCGGTCAGAAGCCGGGACGCCGGCCCGTGTTTTCACAAACTGCACGCTGCTTTTGACAGGCACGCAGCTGTCTTAAGGCTCTGCCCTTCGCAGGTACACTCAGGTGTAAAAATCAACCCTCCGCCTCGCATGCACAGGGCAAATGTTCATTTTATACCCCCTGCTGGCATATGCATAAAGCAAACGAGAAGCTTTGTGATTGCTTAAAGGGGAATTAAACGATGCCACTCGATGGGGATGATGAATTTCGATAAGGTATCAAAAGAAGGGCTTAATTTTGCTAAGAACTTCAAAATGCTTAAAGTAAAACAGAATGCAGAGGCTTGTATAATACTCTTCAGGTCATTTTGACCTTTCACATTCTTGGTATGATAAATAAGAAAAAGCAAAGACCTTCTGACCTGAGTGGGAAATCAGTTTCACTTCTGAAATTACAACCTCCAGCCAGCATTACCACCTACCTGATGTCAGTCTGCTTTGAGAAAACACAGCAGCAACGCCAAGTGTTTAGCAGGTTCACCTTATATTCCAAAACTACAGAGGTATCTTCTTCATACCAACCACTGTGTAAGTACCTTTACTCCAAATAATTTATATAGACCAATGGTGTAGCTGACCACGAATGCGTTCACATTGCTAGCTACTTCACGTGAGTAGTACAAAATTGCTCTTTATTCTTATACTTACTGCTCAGAGATTCAAGAACGATGCTGAAT